ACGACCCCCTGGCTTAGATCGATCCCCGCTTTTGTTACATAGACCCCTGGGGGTCTATATAGATCACTTTGGCGACCTCTGGAGTAAGCTAATATTTTCTCGTAGTGAACTAACACTAGGAGGTAAGATTTAGTTTTCCGGTAGCACAACTAAGCCCTAATTTTTTTAAGACGAATCTTGTTTCGGATCATGGGCTAACGGAAACTTTTAGAGGATTACCCATTTTCAATAGAGAGCTTAAACTAGGAGGAAAAATCCTCTTGTACCCCTAGCCATCAGGCTAACCGTGGTGGTTTTCCTCTTTATGTAACACAAATGCGGGTTAGTTCCATTTAAAAGCCCTCCACGAAGGCAAAATTTCTCCCAATATTTGACCCAGGAGTTCTCTTGTCTTCTGGATTGGGTTCAAAATTACAAGGCTAAGGAGTTGAACATTGGTAGTGGTAATGGATAGCCCAAAAAATTGGGTCGGCTGTTCAACACCGGCTATAAAATAAAATTAAACAAATTAGTTTACCTAGCAAAGAGCTGTTGTCGCTAAAAAAAAAAAACAAATAGCATGTTTTCTATTTTCAAAAAAAGAAAAAAAAACTTTTTAGCGGGTTGGGTAATGAAAAGCTTTTGTGCGCAAGCATAGGCTTCCTATATCCTCATATAAAGCTAACTCGGAATTGTAAAATTTGAAATATATTTTGCTCTAAAAATCTTCCATTTTTAATGAGTAAAAAAAATTTTTAATAAGAAGTTTATGAGGAAATTTTTTTTTCTTCTAGTTACTGAATTTAGTTGAACTCTGATAATTAAAATATAGTTAAGTATTTAAATCATTTACAATCATCGAAAAAAAAATGCGTTTTATAGAAGCTTTTTTTCCAACACAAATTTTTTTTAAAAATTGTACCAATAATTTTTCGTATACAAATAATAACGTTAAAAAACTTTGTAGACTAACTGCCACAACAATTTTTCAATTCCTATTCTCAAGTATATAAAACATGTTAACTCGATTCTATCTTGATCTATTCGTTTTGATAGGTAACACTGAAACTTCCGTTAATATACTCCTCGCATTAGACGCCTTCGGACATGAACTGAACACGCCTATCTTGATAGTCGCATTCACTTTGATTTGAACACGCCCACTTAGAACAACACGTCTACCTCTAACTGAAACACACAATTTGAACATGTCTAGTTTGATGGATGGAACATAGTGAACAGTTGACTTTCTATTTGTGATTGCAACATTATCCTTCTCGCGCTTTTGCTGCTCGGTGTCGATTACACTCAACGGGGAGCTGTAAACACTGCTAATAGCAACAGATGAGTGATTACGCACACAACCGTGATCTTAACACAGCTCTTTAAATCACAGCTCAAAATCTGGTGATCTTAATACAGCACTCCCGGCCTCTCGCAAAAACAGCAATAAATCTTACACAGATATCTATTCATAGAATTCTATCCCAAATAAACTTCTGGAGGGGGAGTAATGTAGCGTTGCTACCACTACATTTATTCAATACTGATCCACTAGTATATAGCAGTGTTCCTCAACCTTTTTATCACCACGGTCCTGTCAACGTTTGATAATTTTACTACGGTCCACGGAGGAAGGGGGCAGCTAGTCCAGATATGTCAAATTAGAATGTTTAATTAGTTTTAGTTCATAAAACAGTTAGCTCTCAGCATTGCAATCTTCGGAAACTTTCTTTTTCCTCCCAAAAAGATAAATGATAAAAACATAATTGCTTCATTATCAGTATTTATATAAAATAAATGAAGCAGTCTTACGCACCGTAATGTATTAATGAATATAGGTATTTATGATTAGAACTGTAGCATTACATTCTGAAAATAAAAGTTTGTTATTTTCATAAGATCAGCTAAAAGAATCTTAACTTTTTATTTTAATTCATTTATCTTTAATCTTGTCAAACGTATTAACTCATTCCTAGCCTAGCGTCTTCTTAAAAGACGGTAAAAAAGTGAAAAAATTTCATTATTCCAATTTATTTTTCTAATCATGAAAGTTGTAACATTTGTTTTAACGTTAATGTGAACGATACAAATAAATTTACTACCACTTCTTTAAATTCGGTATTTTTCCTACGTTAGTTTCTTTTTGTGGGCAAACTTAAAAAAGGAAAGGCAAAGTTAAAAGGAAAATGGGGTAAAGTTTGAAGGAAAACATTCAGCCATGCTTAGTTTTTATACAGCTTTTATATTGCACAAAAAAAAATTGCAATTGTGATTTCAGAAGTAAAAATAATAAATTTAGAAGTTGTGACAATGTTATTTATTAGAATCTCTTCGTTTGAGAGCCTGCCCAACATAGAGCCTTTTCGCGTTTACGAACGCTTAATTTTTTTTTTAGTGTGCCTTTTCTTAACTCAGTTAAGCACTTTTAATATTTAAGAAATAAACTGAATGCTTTTAAAGACCAACCTGTTTTCGAAATAATCCATTTGATATATTTTAAGAGCTTGAAAAAGAGTGTGTTTTCAAAGCTTTTATTTATAATTAAATAATAATTTTATTTCATATTTTTATTTTTCCCTTCATGTTTTATCGCTAAGCTGGAAAAAATTTATAAATAAATAAATATGAGTCTCGTTTGCTTTGTCAAAATGAAGGTAAAACCTTTCATGTTTCTCGCCGAGGAGACGGTATATATACCTTTGTATATAGTAAAACAAAAAAGTACATACCTTTATCATCTGGTAAATATACCTTTATTATACGGTATATACCTTTATATATGAATAAATACTATTAATATTGTACTTATACTAAGAGGATGTTTTCTTCAGTAAGCATAAAATTTAGCTTTTTTAAAAAGAAAGAAAGAAAGGCAGTGACATAATTTCGATTTAATTAGAACTATATGTTTTATTCTAGGGAATAGGAGTTTCTTACTAATTATTAGGAATAATTTTCTGATAGAATAAGAGAGATTTTTTTATCACTTTGAGTTCGTTAAAAAAAAAGTTGAAGTAGTATTTACAAGGATATTATTTTATCAAAATAATTATAAATTAAATGTGTCTTAAGCGGAAATCATACAAGGGGAAAATAAGAGTAACCATAAGCGGAACCTCAACTCTAAAGGCAATTTCGCAGAGTTGTCGATAAGGTTGCTGAATTGCCAAAACGTTTTTGGTAAAGGGTTGCCATTTTTTGTTTATCTTAACTTTTAAATAACATTTTACTTTTTTCATGTGATCCTATTATCTTATTCTTTTTCAATTTTTTTTAAAGGAGGAAAATGAAATCACAGACGCTGTAGAATATGGATTGATATTCGTTTGAATTTGTGCATTTTAAAAGTTTTTATTCAGTTACAAATAAATATTCTGAACACTTCACTCCCATATTAGTCAGGGGTCTGTCCAGACATTTTGTGAAAGGTTCGTTTTTCGTGAAATTGTGAAAAAATTACTCACATTCTTTCAACCAGGGTCCGTTTTTATGAATTTGTGCAAATAGGGTCCGTTATTGCAAAAGAAAAACTTTTTCAAGGAGTTTTTAAATTGTAAAGGCATACAAGATTATGCTCAACACTGTAAAATTATAATTAAAAAAATTAAATTTTAAAAAATAAACAACAATTGCTGCTTCTAAATTAGAGATGCAACATACAAATATTTGGTATTTAGCCTATACTGCTGAACGCAGAATATTAATTTCGGACGAATAATGGAAGAATCGTCTGCCGAAGACAAAACTTAATTCGTTTACATCCATCTTTCTTGTTTTCTGCCCTGGAAAGGGTTTATTCGATTAACAAAATAATAATGAAGATAAACAAATTTGTGAAGGGTCCGATTAAAAGAAAAATCATTTTGTGAAGGGTCCGTTTTTAAGTTAAAATATTTTGTGAAGGGTCCGTTTTTATGAAAAGATATTTTGTGAAGGGTCCGTTAACGGACCCAAATTTCTTCTAAACAGACCCCTGTTAGTGGAGCAGCATAGTAAAAAAGGGATTATGATTTCTTGCTCATTAAATGAAAATGACATTAAGATGTAAATAAATTCCATGTTGCATCTCTAAAGGGATAAGGGGGTAAAAGGAGGATAGAATTAAATACTATCTAGTATTTTTTTTACCTTGAATCGAGTGATTAATATTATAGAAGTTATTTATGTTTTATGTATAAAAGTGAAGTTTATTTATCCATATTTACGTATCTATTATTGCTAGCTAGACAAGTGAGGTATCGTATACTCGCATACGTTAAATCGAATAAAACCTAGCTGTCTGATTTAATACTTTAGCAATTCAAAAATGTATAAAAGTTTCCTGGGTAGAAAGAACAATTTTTGTACTTTGACTTGTACCACTTTATGCAACTGACATTGTTATCTAGACAAGTGAGGCTTTTCTTCCAATTTAATTTTTAGGCTTAATCCAATAAAATAGTCCTTTGAAATAATTGTTTAGAAGAAATGAGGATTTACTGTATGAAATACGCAATTTGTGACTCACCTTTTAGTCATAAAATGTTTATAACATCAGAACCATTAGATCTATCAAATCAATTCTAATTTTTTCTTAAATTTACCCTAAAAATATATATAATAAATAATGTCTGACTTGTCTATACAATAATGTCTCAGAGTTGTATTGTCATTAACTGCAAATATTATCATGAATATCACTTTCATGAAATACCAATTTTTTTAAAATTGTTTTTTTAAAAATACAAGAGGATTTTCAATATCATGCTTACAATTTATTACCGCAAAATTTAAAATATTAATTATTTATAGAAGATAATTTAATTAAAATGTAAACGATTTATTTTGGGACAAATTGTTGTACGTTAATTTACACACTAAATAAATTTAAATTTATTAGTAACTAGAAAAAAAATAATTAATAGCACACTTTTTATGTAACTTGTTATTTTTGTTATAGGCTCTTTAAACGTGTTTTGCATTATAAATAATACAAGAATCAATTTAAAAAATGAAGCATTAAATATCAATACTTAGAACTTTATTTGCATTTTTCATATTTTTTTTCAATTTCAATCATAAAAACAATATCACACCTCTTTCCTTCTACACTAGACGAACCTTATATGGTTCCACAAAATATCTGAAATAAAAGAAAGAAATTACTACATGATAAAATTTTACCCACATATTATTAGAATGAGGGAGATTATAAATACCATTAATTTGAAATCAGTTAAGCCTTCAGGTATCCGTTAAAAACTTTTTTTAAGTTTGATAGATATTTTGATTATAGATATTTATTTAGATAGATATTTTGATTTGAACGAAGGGAGGTATATTTGGTTTTGGAGTTTTTATGTCTGGACTGAAATTTCTTTTAAAAAATAAATGGTATTTGTAAATGAAGACTATTGAAAATGAAAGTATATTTAAAAATTAGTAAGGTAAACTAACGTACTAACTGCCATTGTGGAAAAGTAAAGTATTAATAGATAAATGTAAAGTATAAATAAAAAGTAAAGTATCAATAGTTAACTTTGAATAATAAGAAAAAAACATTATTTAAATTTGTTTTATTAATATCAAGTAACAATTATTTATTCGCTTTAAACTAATAATATTAAAACTTATTATTATAATTTGTTCCAATCAAAATTTTCATTACTTTTGATAGAAGTAATTCCTAAATTAATATAGATGAATTTTTCTGGCATTTCACATTAAAATATTCGCCAAGCAACTGGCCAAACTTTGTTGCATTATTATTTTAACATATAAAGCATAAGAGATTGCATTTCTTAATATTAAATTTTAATCTTTATTTCTGTTGATTAAAGAAACATGTGTTCTATTGTTTGAAATTTTTTATTTAATTTGTGTATTAATTTTATTTTTCCCTAAGAATTACTTACTTTTTCTATTGCTCTTTTAAAAGCAAGTTAGAAAATTAAGTTAGAAGTAGAAAGCAAGTCAGAAAACATGTTTGTAAACATTTACCTTGTCCCCCACAAAGTTACCCTATTTTACGGTAATTATTGAAAAAATATTTAAAAAAGGTAGAAATATATTATATAACAATAATTTTTAAAATAAAAAATTTAACTTTTCAAACTGCTCTATATTCCACAATCCCTTTCCTTTTTATTTTCTTATCTGTTTCTACATTCATCCCCTCTCTATTTTGGTGTATTTTGATTATCATAATATTTTGTTTAATATTGTTAAAAGTTAACATACATTTATCTATAGATACTTTACTTTTCTACAATGGTAGCAAGTATATAAGTTTACCTTACTAATTTTTCAATATTCAAGTTTCAATTTCAATAGAACGAAAAATGTTTTATAAATACAAAATTTTGCTTCATTATTATAACTTATAAAATATAATAAAGATTGTATTTCTTTATTTTAAAATTTATTTTTAATTTTTATATCTGTTGAATGTAAAAGCATGTGTTTGATTATTTGAAAAAGCTTAATTTTTTTCAATTTGTGAAATAATTATTTTATTTTTTCTACGAATTACTTTAATTTTAGAAAAGCTTATTTTAAAACAAGTTAGAAAACTCAGAAAACATGTGTGGCCAAATATTTACCTTATCTCTCACAAAATTACCCCATTTTTCAGTAATTATTAAAAATACAAATTCTCAATACCCTTATCTATTTCTACATTCATCTCCTCTTTTAATTTGAGTATGATGATTTGCATAATATTTTGTTCATTATTATTCAAAGTTAGCCAATGATACTTTAATTTTTATTTATACTTAACATTTATCTATTGATCCTTTTCTTTTCTACAATATAAGTAAGTATGTAAGTTAAAATTACTAATTTTTCAATATAGTTTCATTTTCAATAGTCTTCATTTATAAATAACATTTATTTTTTAAAATAAAATAAATTTCTGTCCTATCATAAAAACTATAAAACCAATTATACCTCCCATCTTTCATTAGTGTATAGAATAATCTTAGAACTATAATCAAAATATCGATCAAACTTAACATAAGTTTCTGATGGATACCGGAAGGCTTAACTGATTTCAAATTAGTGCTATTTAATCTCCCTTATTCTAATAATGTGTTGGTAAAATTTTATCACGATAGTAAATTATTTTATTTCAGGTATTTTGAGGAACCCTGTAAGGTTTGTCTGGCGTAAAAGGAGAGAGATGTAATATTGTTTTTATGATTGAAATTAAAAAACAATAATTCAAAATTGAAAATAAATACACTTGATAGTAAATGTTTTATTTTTACACTGATTCCTGTGTTATTTAAAATGTTAAATACGCTTAAAGCCTATAAGAAAAATAATAGGGTACATAAAAAAATTTTCTCTTAATACAACATATTTTTTTCTAAGGCGACTGCCTACCTTGAAATGAGTGATTTCGTCCAAAAAATCGATTTTCTGTTTAATACATTTTTAAAAAGTATGAACTTTCAAGATTCCAAAAATGTTTTACTTTTAATTTTCTGATAATTATTTGTAAAGTTATAGCAGATTTAAAAACCGGAAGTCATATTCTGAAAATCCGGAAGTGAATAAAAAGTGACAGAATTTAATGCAAACAAAGCTGTTTTGCGTTGATTTTTTGCTTTCCTTTCAGTAAAAAGCCATAAAATAATATTAATAATAATTATAAATGTATTGAAATGCATCTGGCAATTATTTATTAGTGATTTTTCTTAAAGAAATATGATTTGAATGGCAACTGCTATGATGTTTACATATTTTGTTTTCTGATTGATTATATTTTGTTAGTCTATTTTGTTTGTCTAGTTATATTTTGAAATTTTTTCGATATAATTTGATATTTTTTTAGTTATTTTTAGTTTTCTTCAAAAATTTTTTCTTTCTTTTTTCAAAAATCTTCGTAAAATGTTATTTTAAATATTGTGTTTTTAAGCATAATATTGCATATATTTTCAAATTTTTTATATAAATTTTATACTTTTAGTTCAAAGCACAAAATAGAGTAATATTAGTTTGTAGTATAGAAGAAATATGTTTTATTGGTTATAATTTTGTCTAATGGTGTATTACACAAACATATAATGCACTAATTTCATACTTAAATTTTTAAAATATTTAGTTATGTATTGAAATGAAATTCCACTTTTATTGTTTTTTATATCTAACTCAAGCTATATAGTGTTATTATCACCTGTATTTCTAAAGTAATTAAATCTAAGATGACAAAAAATAAACAAATGTTTACTAATAGTAAATCGAGCATTTGTACGGAGATTTTCAACTTATTAAAAAAAGGATCAGGAAAAAAAGAATATTCAGTGAAAAGTCCAATTTAAACAAGTGTAGAGTATATGAAGGCTTGGTATATCTTTTTAGATAGTTTAATGTTTGTATAATAAATGTAATTTACTTTTACTGTACAAATAAATCTTAAAATGTGTTTTCTGGAAAACTGAATTTTTCTGTTTTTCGATTCACGCTGGACCTTATTTCTCAAAAACTATTAGGACTTTTATGATGTAATTTTGTAACACTGTTATAAATAATATTATCTGTGTTCTGAACTAGAACTGAAATTCTATTTCAATATTTAAGTATTTTATAGCTATGTAAATCCAAAAAAATATATCGTTATTTTGCTGTTTTTCTACGTAATTGGGCATTTTTCACCAAATTTTTAAAATTTCGATTAACTTTTAGTTCAGAACACAGGAAAGGGTTAAAATAATATATACTTCAAAGGAAATTGTATTTTATTACACACAACTTAGTTGAGGGTGTCCAGCGTAACTCTTAAAATTCACTAATTTTTTACCTAATTTCAACAAAATTTTACAAACTACAAAATATATTGTTATAATTTTTCTTATTTGTGTCATTTTTAATCCCCTTTTATATAACTAAGCATAAAATTTTTGAAAAATTTATTTTTTTTAAAAAAAGTTCACCGAACGTGGGCAGTCGCCTTAATAAATTTGAATTTATATAGTATATGCTACAATAAATTTGTCCTAAAATATATCCCGTAATTTTTTATTAAATCATCTTATACCAATAATTAAAGTCTTAAATTTTACAATAATAAGTTGTAAGTATGACATTGAATTCATGAAAACCAATCCTCTTTTGTTTAAAAGAATATTTCTCTTTTAAAAATTGGTCTTTTGTAAATATGATATTCTTGATAATAAAGTTAATGCAATGTAAATGAATTTTATTACAATTATGTAACAATGAAAATTTGAGTCATTTTTGCATAGTCAAGTCCAGAATTATATATGTATTTTTTAGGCAAATTAAAAAACAAAATTAGAATTATTTGATGGATCTAATAGTTTTAATACTATAAATATTTCATGAGTAAAACGTTACTCAAAAATTTTATATTTCACGCATTAAACCCTCATTTTTTTTAGAAAATTAAATCAAAGGACTATTTTGCTGGATTAAGAGTAAAGAATTAAATTTGAAGTAATACCTCAATTGTCTGGATAGCAGTGTTCGTTGCATAAAGCGGTGTAAGTCAATGTAGAAAAATTGTACTTTCTACAAATAAAACCTTAATGAATTTTCGAACTTTTAAACTATTAAATCAATTAGCTTGGTTTCATTCTTATTCGAGTTAGCGTAGTGATATGCATAGGCAACGATATCTTATTTGACTAATTAGCTATGTTAGATACGTAAATAGGTACAGTACAGAACCCGTTATCCGGAAATCAGAAAACCGGAAAACCAAAAAACNGATAATATTACTCACTTCGTTCAACGTAAAAAAAATCGTTAAAATACAAGATAATATTTAAGTCTATCCTATTTTTATCACCTTAGCCTTTCAGAAATGCAACATGAAATACATTCTTAATATCAATTCCATATTATGAGCTAGAAATCATAATTCTTTTCATACTGTGGTGCTTCCACTAACGTGGAAGTGAAATTTTCAAAATTTTTATTTGCAGCTGAATGAAGACTTTTAAAATGCAAAAAATTAAACGGATATCAATTCAACGTCTTTCCAAGCCTCTTATTCAAGCTCGTAAAATATATTAAATGGATTATTTTAAAAGCAGGTTGGTCTTTGAAAGCATTGGGCTTATTTCTTAAGTCTTAAAAGTGTTTAGCTGACATACGGAAAAACACACTAAAAAAATAAAGCGTTCGTAAACGCGAAAGATGTTAAGGGTCTATGTTAAGGGTCTATGCCTCTCAAACGAAGAGATTCTAATAAATAAAATTGTCTCTACTTCTAAATTTAATATTTTTACTTCTTAAATCGCAATTACCATCTTTTAATTCATGTAATTTTGAAGCTGTATACAAACCAGGCAAGCCTAAATGTTTTTAATTTTATCTGTTTTTGAGAGATTAATTGGCTGTTGCGAAAGTTTCCAAAAGCTATCCAAATTGTTCAGTCGTAGCAAAATACTTAATAAACTGCTGTTTGTAGAAAATGCAACACCATGAAAGAATCATCAGAATCAAATGANGTTTAGGAAGTCTTTTCATATAAAAAGAAATCTGATAAGTACGCCAAGAAATTTATGTAAATTTAGGTAGTTACAAATTTAGAAACACTTCCACGTACTTTGATTAACAAATTACTACACTCATTTTTGACCGACCTTTTGGAACACTGTGTTCCTCATTTTCAGCATTCTGCACGTTAAATCAACTCGAGAAAACTACAGAATTTAAAAACGTTATAGTAAGTTTATTTGCACCCTTCACTTTAACGTTAAAATAAATGTTACAACTTTCATGATTACAAAGCCAAACATAAATATTTACATTATTAATACAGGGTGCGAAACCAAATTTTTCAACAAAAAATAAGCACTTTTAAAGCACTCAAAAAATATTTTTAAGCCCTTTAAAAATATCATAATTATTAGGATAGGTGCACTAACAATTTTTTTTCTTTCATATTGTTGAAAGTTTTTTATATTTATGTTAACAAAATGCAAAAAAATTTTGAAAGTTGCATGATCATGATAAAATAACTAGTTTCTGACAAGGAATTCTTTCCTTGGTTACATTGGCCACCATAAAAACAATTTATGCACAATTTTAAATATATTCAATATTGAGAGGATCATTCTATTTTTTAAATTATTTTACACAATTATGTAAAAAGAATAATTATTCAAAATTAGAACTAATTTAGCTATTAAAAAGGTTATCAAGTGTGTTTTTTTAGATTTAAATAAAAGTTATTTCACTGTTTTACCAGCAAATAGGAGAAAAAATAAGTAATGAAATAATGATAAAAAGAAAGGTCATGTACCTTTTCTTTTCCATCTCTGAAGCGAGTCAGGTCATCCAGTCATAGATTGAGCTCTAATTCTCCGGATAAATCACCAGCGGAATGTCTATCAGCAGTCAGTTGGCTCCCAACCAAGCTGCAGGTCTTCTTTTCCGGCAAAATATGATAGCCTGATCGATTGATATGGAACCACAGATATTGGACAATTCTGAATATTTGCCTTCGTAGGTGTGACACATGACATACAACTGCTTGACATTTTCTGGCCTCCATTGTTCCGGCTTCAGCAGCATTATTGTGAGTTCAGTTATAATCATTTTTGCAAAACACATCAGGTGAGTAAATGGTGGAAAACAGCTTCATTTGACAACTTTTAGACACCATGCGGTGATTACGCAAACATTGATTACGATCTTTCGCAAAACTTTAACTTCTTGAGATGAAACTAACAGATGGATCGTTAGAATCTTTTTCATAATGGATATTTCAGCTACCGACAAACGAATTTCCCCATCATCATTCGGTAGGATTTGCATCAACTTTAACATCGTTTTTGTTGGTATAAGTTGGAGAAAGGTATATCGAAACTAGGCCTCTTAAATGCACGCTTTTCGTGTCTGTAGACCTTTCTGGAGCTATTGATCGAGATAGTGGAGAGCTGCCAGCTTCCTATGGCGTTAAAACAAGCTTAGAAGAAAGTCTAGAATAATCTAAAAGGTGGCGCAAGTCTGTCACTTAGGCTATCATATCTAAAATCGAAAAAAAATGCTTTATAAGAAAAATAAAGTCGTTGCAAAAACTAGTTAAATAAAATAGTTATTAAATACAAAGAACAACGATATTTACTGTATATATTTAACATAAAAAGCCTCAACCAATCTTTTTTTGTTTTCCTTTTCTGTAAATCTCTTTCTTATTTTTCTATTGAAAACAAAACTCTCTTTCTCAGACTTTAAAATTCACATGCTGTCTTTTAATCTATTTTTAGTTCAAGTATGCATTAATTAACCTTGACATTTTTCCCTTTGCTAACTTGTGAGAAAGCTAAATTTCCCTAGACCAATTACAATGATTTCCTTTATTCCCTTTAATGAAGCATTTTACTGATTTACTTCAGAAGATTCTCCCTAATTTTTATTGAGGAGCACGACGATTTTGTGATAATTAAATTTTGAATACAAATCTCAGTCATTTCTTTTACCCAAATAATCACAGTGATATAAACAAAATGTAAGAATTATTTCTTGTAAAAAAATTTTTTTCTTTCACACCATTAGCTTATGCTTAAATAACTGGGTGAAAAGTAATTAAAAGAAAGCATTCAAGTGTGAGAAAACGCAAAGCAAGAATATCGCTCAAATAAAAGTGTATTTCACTCAAGTTGAGTTAAAAAAGTTTCACTCAAGTAAAAGAAGGTTTTTGAGTAGGGGAAATCACCCTTTCATTTTAAGAGACCACGTGGTGTCAAAAATCCTAAAATTTTAACATAATACTATTACAACTCACAAAAATAGATTCCGTTTCATTTTTGTTGTAGCTTAGAAATTTCTTTAAAAATATTTAAGCTATGTAAAACTTCTTATAATTTACTTAATAAAAATATCTTAAAATTGAAGTATATTTTTCACTAAATGTTGAGACTTATTTTGCACGACAATGATTTGGTTCCAAAATTAATAATTTTAAACCCTAAAAACTATCCCAAGTAAATTGAAGACCATGCATTTACTTTTGCTTACTAACATATTCATTTTAAGTTTAATTTTATAAAGAGTAGAGATTTTCATTGTTAAAATTTATATGGAAAAGTTTTATTATGTGAAGCAATGTAAAACATCCTATGGGTTTTAGTTATTTCGATTGATCTGTACTTTATTTTAATAAAGGAATATTTTTTAAAATTAGTTTTTAATTCTTTAATTTTAAATGAATTCTAGTAGTTAAAAGTATTTAATTTTGAGCAAACATAATTCTAAGATATTTGTTAAAAATAATTCAGTGCTGTTGGCATTAATTTTATATAACAATTACTACGATTAATGTCAGCATGCCTGTCTAAATACTTGGGCAAAGGTCAATCTGCCTTTCATTGGTCAATCTACTGTGCAAGGGACCCTTCGCGCAAACCGCTACTATAAACTAATCACGGTAAGAACTCTAAAAAGAATAACAGTTTAAAACTAGTATTCTATTAATTTTTTTATTTTAATATTCTAGAATTTCTTCCAAGAACTGTAAAATTCTCGGTCTTCTATAATAGGCATGAAATAAATAATTTATCCTTTAATTTAAATAAGCAACTTTTGGGGTCAGTTTGTTAATCGGAGAATACAAAAGTCAAAATTTTTGATGGCGTTTCATTGATGCACCCACATAATCTTGACGGTAACCATCAATAAGTCCATCATGAACCATTATAATTTTTGGTAACCTACATAATTAACCATCTAACATGCAAAATGATTGCCGCTTTCATACGCAACGGACAGACAGTACGCCGAGATGGATTGTGGTTGAATGAATTTGAAAAACATGCTTTTACATAAGTTGCGAAAATCGACATGGTAAAGAAGAAAAAATCGCATTTTCGAAAAGGGAAAATTAAGAACTTTTTAAAAACACCCTATAAAAAAGGCAGCTATAAAGGATTTTAAAATACTACAGTAAAAAAAAGCACATTTAAGCACTTTTTAAAAACGCTACGCACCATGTTAATATATTTGATAACCGTTGTTGAACAGCCGACCCAATTTTCGGGTCTACGACTACTAATGTTGAATTCCGAACCCTTATAATTTTGAACCAATCCAGAAGACAAGGAAACTCTTGGATCAGTAACCCCCAGAGGTTTGATTTGTTATGGGAACATTAAGGATATTGTGAATCTACAGATGCATCAGTCACCATTTACTACATGGGAAGTCATCAGCAGGCGGAAATCGAATCTACGACCTCTTAAACATTGGCTCAATTCCTTTCCAACCAGGCTATCCCGGCCCTCATGTAATATATTGCCGTTGGTAGAACTACTTTGTGCAAAATAAATCCGAATAATGAAACAATTTTCACTTTTTTACAGCCTTTTAAGAAGACACTGGGAAAGGAATGGGTTTATACGGGCTTTTAAGAAGACGCTGGGGAAGGAATGGGTTAATACGTTCGACAAAATTAGAGATAAATTGATTAAAATGAAAAGTTGAGATTCTGTTAACTGATCTTATGAAAATAATTTAAACATTTATTTTCTGAATGTAATACTAAGAGGTTACAGTTCTGATCATAAATATCTATATAAATTAATAAATTACGGAGCTTAAGACTGTTTCATTTATTTTAAATAAATGCTGATAATGAAACAATTGTGTTTTTTATCATTTATCGTTTCGGGAGTAAAAAGAAAGTTTCCTAAGATTGTAATGCTGGAAGCTAACTGTTTTATGAACTAAAACTAATTAGACATTCTAATTAGATATATTTGGATTAGCTGCAATTGCGCAAATTCGTTTAGAAATTAATATATAAATTAATTCATTATCTGGATTTAATTGATATTTTAATGGGGATTTCGGTGCTGTTCCCGTAATGGTTAGTTTTCTATATTTCTTTATATTTTAATATGCATTAATGAGTCTTTTCTTTTTACGCTTAATTTTTATTTATATGAATAGTAAGATGACGGATTTTTTTATATCACATGATCCGTCACGTGGGTTAACAGGGGGACCTGCAGATAGACTTAATCAAGGGTCTACTGTGATTACTAAGCTATACCTGATCAATTGTTTTGTTATATCAAACACTTTGAAAATTTAAAAAATATAATAACAAAATCATTAAATTTTCCGTGCCTTTTCATTTCAATTTTTGATTGCTTTTTTCTTACTTAGTTTATCCATTATGGTACCTCGATGCTGAGTCAGTTTTAGGTTTAACTACTGACTGCAGAAGACTCCAGTTTGTTAGCAGGCAGTGTACCACCCGATGAAGTGCTGTTTTTGCAACATACATATCTTTAGAAAATTTTTTTGCAACATACATATCTTTAGAAAAGATTTGTTTCTAACTTTCTAAATTGTTGAATTAAGACAAATTTGGTTTTAGCTTCTTTTAGCGCTTTTCCATTTTGAATTATTATTATTTTAAATGATATTTTCTTAATTCGCCTTTTTTTTTCATCTTGCTTAAATTTTTAATTCTTTGGTTGGGTGTTAACTCGATTCTATCTGGAGTTAACTTTTGATGACGTTGTCGGTTGTTGACGAACCTGACAACTTCATTACTGATGACTCTTCGTTTTAGTTTTCATCATTTCTTGTGTGTGTGGACGTGTTGTTCGTGAAGCTAAGGTTTAAAGCGTATAAAAAATTTTGAAATATTCACCAATCAGCGATGAATGAAGTGAGTTTTTAACTATTATCACCACGTTATAGCAATAGGTAACAGGGTGCATAGCCAGATTTTTCAACAAAAAATAGGCACCTTTTAATTACTTTCTTATCACTCAAATAATATTTTTAATCACTTTCGGGGAAAAAAATCATAATTAGGATCCGAGCAGTAATAAAAATTATATATTTTTTCTATCGCTTAAATTTCTTAATCTATGAACATAAATTCAATAAAATTTAAAAATATTTTCTAAAACTTTACATAATCGTGATAAAATAACTAGTTTCTGATAAATATTGCGGAGAAAATTGCGAAAATCATGCATTTTTTGTAATTTAGAGCCATGAAGTAAGCGAAGATAGCTCCTTCGAGATACTAATATTTTATTAAACATATTTAAATTTATATACAAGTTGGTTTGATTTACAAGAAGCATCATCACAGCAGGTGATGAGAGAAATACTGACAGGCTGTCATGTGCGTGCTGGTATTTATACAATTCTAATATGATGACGTCAGAACTCTTATTTCAGTTCACTTCAAAAATAAGTAAAAACACAATTGATTAAAGACAAACAGATAACAATATGAAATAAATGACGGGGTANGAAAATTGCGAAAATCATGCATTTTTTGTAATTTAGAGCCACAACCGATTCGGAAAAGAAAAAATCTCTTTTAAACAGATAGAAAATTAAGCACTTTTTACAAACACCGAATAAAATTAGCACTTTTAAGGGCTTTTAAAAGACCTAAATCAAAAATAAGCACCTGTAAGGACTTATAAAATCGTTACGCACCCTGGGTAAGTAATACGCATTCATAAACAGGAATCACGAAGAAAAATTGTATAATAAAAGTTAATTTCTTTTCATTTATTAATATTATTCAGTGTTGTCTAGTGCGTCATTCAGAATACTTCTGAGTACTGTTTGTGGCGAGTATTTTTTTACCCATTTGTTGACCCATTAAAAAATTTCCCCACTTCTAAACGCTAAACAGTTTTCTGGCAAAAACAAGTACAGCTTATTTCTGACCTGGATTCCCAGAAATTAAGTTTTGCGTTCAAAAATAAGTCCCTTGCATTAGATAATTAGCCTATATTTTCCCACCAAAATGTTTTGCTTCCTATCCCACCTATAAAAAGGTATTTTGAAAAAACAATCTTAAACTGACTTTTGAACTTGAAAACAAATAATTTTAATTTCGCATTCAAACATTCGCCCATAGTAGCAATACTTATTGCTAGAAAAAAGTTTAGTTTGCTAAATCACGAAAAAAGTATAGCTGAGACAAATTTTAGTTAGTTTTTGACAAAAAAAAAATATAATTAAAAAGTTGAATTTTGCATCCAAATTTAAGCTCGGTTTTGGTCCTTAACCTCCTGTCCATGGATCAAATAGTACAGTTCTCGATATGGAACATTAAATTGCTTTCATTTTTTTACTGTGTATTTCTCTCGGGTTTGTGCGACTTTCTGTGGACGTAAGGTTGACTGGGTGGTGAGATAAAACTAATCTGTATTAAACTCAAAACTCAGATCAGTCACCTGTGCCACACCCATACCGCAAATGTAATTGTATTTGTTTTGAAGGATGTTTAAAAACAATTAAATTAAAATTATTAAATCAAAACCATCTAAAGCAGTGTTTCCCAACGTGGGGCTCACGCCCCACTAGGGGGCAATTTGATTGTTAAGGGGGGCAATTCGAAAATGAACTCAACACAAGTTTAACCCTTTTGCTCCGGGGCATTTAAATGCAATGCTAGATTTCAGTGCCAAAATTGAAAGAAAAAAGGAAATTTTTAAATAATTGCGCAAATAAATATTATGTGACTTGAAATGAAATATCTGTTAACAGTCGATTGTGAAGCATTTGTAAGTTATTTAGCCGATATATTTGAAAAACTAAATATATTAAATAAGCAAATTTAAGGAACAAATAAAGCTCTTGTTGATGCAAAAGTGAAGATATTTGGTTTCATTACCCTTATTGAGTTGTGCCAGAAATATATTAACAACAAAAACTTTAAACAGTTTCATTTCTCCAAAAATGTGAAGTAAATGATAACGCTTTACTTGTTATTGTCGATAATCTGAAAATTCTATCGGCTGATTTACAAGAAAGATTTTCTGATTTAAAACAAATTGATTTTCCAACGCGGATGATGCAGTCAATGTTAGTGGATTTGTCTGATATATCAAATATGCAGTATCAAGAAGAACCTGGACCCGACTTAGCCTAATTGGGGCAGGGGCAAAAACTTCTTTGGGGCCCCCATCTGCTTCATCCTTCAGTAGTGAAGAACCGAACTATATGGAGGTATTGAAATTTTCACCTCATTATACAGATATATAGCAAGAAAATTAAAATTTTAAAAAAGCTATTAAGTCCCCCCCCCAGACGAAATATCGCTCTGTCCATTTCATTGATTTTCTGACAATTCTATGTTCATCATGCCGAATGCAGTTTTCTAATTGTTAACTTTGTCATCTAGCTGCAAAAAATTCATATCTTTGCTGACATTAGGGCGAAATTGTACAAAATTTTTGCAATTACGATGGCTCAATTAAGCCAATCAGAATCCTGTATTTTGGTAAACATATCCCATTTTGCGATAGGTAAAAATACAGTCTTTTGACTGGCCAAATTTGTCCACCGTAATTGCGAAATTTACCCAAAATCCACACTAGAAAGCCATGGATTTACGAAAAATAGATTTTTTGTGACCATACGATAGATTAATGAAGAAGCTAACATAAAACTGACGGATTTACACTGTGCTGTTATTTTGTTTAAAAAAAGTTCATTAAAGAAGGAAACCTAAAATAAACTTTCTATTCGATTTGGGGCTCCCTCTTATGTGGGGCCCTGGGCAACTGCCCAGTATGCACATGCCTTTGTTAGGCTCTGAGAAGAACTCGCAGAAATGCAAAATGATGAGTCAGTTAAAACTTTATTTAATATAAAAGGAGTGATGGCATGGCTTTGTGAGTAAACAGAAATCATATAACCAAATTCAACCAAATGTACAAGAAAACTATTGTTACAGTTTCCATCTTCATATTTAGCTGAATGTGGATTTTGTGCTGTAAATGATTTACTGGTAAAAAAAGAAATCGTCTGGATGTAATACAACTGGGAGAATTGAGACTGAAGGAACCAAATTGGAACCTAACATAAAATCTTTGTGCAGCAAGCAGAAAGCGCAAGAATCTCACTAAATTAAAATATTAAATTATTGCAGAAAAATCTTTATTAAAAGTGCTACAGAAAACACTAGTGCTACAGAAAACACTAGGGCCTAACATTTCTTTTATAAATATAGATTTCATTGTAAAATTCGAAATTCCGATTAAAAAATTGATTAGATTTATTAAAAAATAGGCAAAAGTTAGTTTGGTCCACACTTTTTTCGGTAGGGTGTCTATCACAATAACTATCTATAATGGACGTTTGGAGGCAGAATTCAAATGTTTAGTTTTTGGTTTTAGTTTTTAAAATTGTTATTTTTGAACTGTAACTATTTTTTACAAATATCTGAAGCTTGGGAAAAAAATCAAAACTTGTGGTTCCCAGGTCAATAAAAAACTGCGTTAGCCACAATTTTCTTTTTCGTTGACGAGAAATTAGGGTAGGTTACTTCTTATAGTATGTTAACGTTTCGAGTACGATAACGTTCGTTCAAATTTTATTTCTTTATCAAATATTAGCTGTCGTTACATACTTCTTTTGGTGGGTTGCCTGGAGTATCAAAATTTCTTTCCGCAAGAAAGTAACATTTTGTGGTCACATTCAATATTGTGGTTTTTAAGTCAAAGAGTAATTAAAACTTGTTTTTGACCATTTTTGAAAGGCATGTTTTGTAAATCATAAAATAAGCAAAACCAATTTTCGTCTTAGCTATGTTACCGTGCATGACCTAAATCAATAGAATTTCTATTTTACCGGTGAATGTCAACAATCACATAGTCGCTTTGGTGAATGTCCGAAATATTTGTTATATGTGATTTGATATTAATTTATTCGTTGATATTATTATATTTATTCGATGTTTTAATATTTGCTGAGGTTAGATTGGGAGAAACATCAGTATTCGGAGTGCCGGTAAAATGCATACCGAGCAGTGGCACTTAACTAGACCTAGTATACATTTTGGACATTGTGAATGTCAACATTCATCGGTGGAAGTCAACCAATTTCTGTCATTCATAGTAACAACTACACTTGAGCAAGTGATCTAACGAATGCATAAGAGCGAGCATTTTGATTTATGGAAAGATTCTGGTGGCTTACTACTAATGTTTGAAGGCAAAATTCGAATTTAAGGTTGCAAGAACAGCAATTATTTATAGCTTGTTTTTGCCATGCCATACTCTTTAACAATATTTTTAATTTGCATTAGAATGTACTAGTAATTCCCTACACTATGCTAGCGTTTGGAGGTAAAGTTCAAACTGATGTTGTTGTTTTTTTAAACAGAAATATGCTAAAACTTGTTTAGAGGAAAATTTCAAACTTGCGGTTTCCAAGACAAAGATTCGTATTAACTTGCCTGAGCCATATTTTTTTGACGGTTAGGTTAAACGAAAAGCTTAAGAGTGATAAAAATGAACTTGTTTCTAGGTCAAATTATATTTAAAGTTTATCAATTCAAAACATTTTCCTTTGACAAATTTAAAGCGAATAACTTATAAGGATTATTTTGTCACACAAAGAACTTATGTTTGAAGGCTAAACTGATATTGTGGTTACTTTTGTCAATAAAGCTCTAAAACTTGTATATTAATATAACTTATAATATGCATTGTATTATTATCATTATTTTTGTGGTGAGATTAACGAAAGTATTTATTGAAGTACTGATTTTCTAAATAATGATAACATAAAGATATTAAATTCAAATTTTCAGTTATTTGTCCAGAAATCAGCTAAATTTTGTTTTGAAAATTTTTTTAGCAGTAGGGTAAATGAAAATTTCTTGGGGGCTAACAATTTCTTACAACATTTGCTGTAAATTAAAACGTATTTTATAAATTATCAAGAAAATGTTTATGTTTGTTATGAAAATTGTTATGTTTCCTAGCAATCAGTAGACACTTTTCATGAATTTAATGAGAGGTGTATTCGAAATATTGATTCGAATATTTTTAGCAAATATTTATTATTAAATCACTCGAGAAGCGTCATAAAATCAACGCGGTTTTCTCAGTATTTTTTTTAATATCTGCTAATTTCTCTTTAAGTTAATGAAAAATAAAAAAAAAGATTATGTTTATTAAAATTTAAGTTTATTGGAGTAGAAGTTAAAGGCAAAATGTTTGTCTGTTGAAATTGGCAGTTTCGAGAAGAAAATGTTTTAGAAGAAATGTTGACAGCTTGCATAAAAAATACCTCTTTTGCAATTACAATAAATACTAAAAGGTAAAAGTAAAAGTTGAAATATTTTGTTTTGGGGTCATAACGCGTGGAAATCTTAATTTATAGAACGAGAAAATAAAATTCTTACCAGAACCATGTTGCAACACATTATGCTGCTTAATTAACGTCATAACTCTGCCCTATCTTGCAAATGAAAGCCACATCTTGTCCTGCATACACTGCAAAGAAAAAAATAAGCATAAGCAATGTTTTAATAAGCATTTTAAATCACAAAACTATCACAACTCACAAAATTTTTTCTCTACAAAATAGATGTGTGCATGGTGCTGAACATCATCGGAACAGACAAAAAAGTGAGTAACGTAAAAGAAATGACTAAAGATTTTAATTATGTTTTAATTAGACTTCAAAGATTTTTAAAATACGATCTGACCCATAAAAACAAGTAATGTAAAAAAGTTTAATCGTGCAATACAACAAAGATAAATTTTATTTTAGTTACTTTTTTATTAAATAATTAGAGTTTTTTTCTCCCATATAAAACTAAAATTTATTAATTACATTTAATTAATTAATATTTGAAAAAACTGAATTAACATCAAGTGTCATCCACTACAAAAAATGTCTTTGAAATTGAATGGATGATTAAAAAGTATGTTACTAGTGATTGGAAATTTGAACAAGATATATAAATATATATATAGGGAGAGTATGTAGGGGAGAGTGGGGTCAATTGTAACAGGGTACGATTGTAACAGAGCTAAAATTTCGAGTGTCGGGTCCTAGATTTAGTACCTAGGTGGCGCACAAGGTGTATTTAATAAATCTACATGTACATCCCTGCTGGCAACCATTTTTATGTACTTTTGAAAGAGTTACATCACAAAAGATATTTTCAAGCTACGTAAGTACTTTTTTTGGTATTAGATTATTATATTGTAACAAAGTAATTTTGCTTAAACAAATAAAAATTATTAACCAAATATGTAAGTGGACACCTTAATTAACATTTCAATAAAACAGAATTAGTTTTGTTAATTAACTAGCAATGTTTTTAACAAATGAAGCTGAAATGGCGTCTTGGGGACGATTGTAACAATAAGTAAAGGGACGATTGTAACAGCTGAAAATAAATAATCATATGATTACAAACCATTACTTAACTCTTTAAGAACCACCAATTGTTTCCTATATCATTCATATTATGTTGCATGTGCATTATTTTATTTGTCACCTTTCACAGCATAAGTTAAAATTTTTAACCCCTTAAAGTTAAAAGTTTAACCCTTCTGGTCTCTGCTCATTATTATTTTTACTCCTGAAATATCACTACCATTTTGATCAATAAAAAAATACATCACAACTATGATAATATGCATAATTAACTAGGCTTCAGTTGAATTTATGAACTGTTACAATTGACCCCGCAAGTGGGGACAATTGTAACAAGTGCACGACTGTGAATAATTGTTAATAACTAATATAATAACATTTAAAATAGGGTATTTATTTCTTTTTCTAGTAGAGGATAGTCTACTTTACTCGCCTGTCAATTAATGCTAATAATATATTGGATTTTTTGTTAGTTAAAAATAGTTAAGTAAAAAATGTTACAATTGACCCCACTCTCCCCTACTTCATGTTCATTTTCCAAGAAAATAGAGCAAACCATTTCTAAAATAAAATATAGAAATTTTTTTTTTAAATATAGATAAGAGTCAAGAATTTTATACTCTTATATTAACCCAAGCTATTTACTGTACCTTATTTCTGTCATTACTTATATTAAGACACGATTTCGAGAAAAATGTAGCAATTTTAGTTGTAGAATAAGCCCTTNTCTTTGATGATAAAATACTATGTCTTTGATGATAATATATTATGTCTTTGTGCTAGAACATTGTGTTCATTGGCGAGCGAGCGCAGCGAGCCATGGTTCACGGCGTGAACCACATAGGATTGCGTAGCAATTCTCGGGGGTTGGTGAGCGTTAGCGAGCAGGGGGCGGAGCCTCCTAGTAAAAAGTATTTCATTAATGATTGAAAATTTGAACAATATATAGGAAGAGTGTGAACTATTAGTAGGAATTGAATGAAGTAAAAATAATCAAACATAAGTATTGCTTAATGGTTCTTCTTTCTCTAGCGATTTCTTATTCAATATAGGCATGGGTTCGTCGAGCTACCGAAGCGGGGGTGCCATCCCCTCTGCAGAGGATCAAAATTGTGATGGCATGTCTTCGGATCATCCTCCGGGATATTTCCCAGACCGTCGCCAATAGCCCATTGTGCGGCTCTAGGGCGACGTAAATTAACAACAATAAATTAACAACAACAATAAATTAACAACAACAATATAGGCATGTAAAGGCAAGCTTACGCATAGGTTTGTATGGAATTTCCTTTTTAATAAAATTTCCAGTTGTCGATATGTGTAACATGTTCTCTTGTTTTTTAGACTAAAAATTTGGTAAAACTTGATATTTTATGCGCTAAATAGTTTAAATGTATATTTTTTTCTAAAAGTTGACAGGGAAAAAAAGTTTATCTGGATCACGATTTTCAACGATGAGCTAACGTATCGTAGAATAATTTCAAATACTTATTAAAATCAAAATTCTTATCAAAATTAATTTATCAGAAGTTGGATACAGGATAATTAGGCCGTAACTTTTTTGGCGTGTGAGGTAAGAAATTTTGAGTGGCTAACGATTCCCTACAAACAGTTAATGTTTGGAAGAAAATTAAAACACGTGGTTGTGTGGTAAAAAATGCGTTTTTTTAGTTTTTTTTTCGAACCATATCTTAAGAAAATTTTTGTTGTCCTAACATGAGTAGGTTAAATAATAACACCGGCACGCAGCCCTGTACTTGATACTTTCGGATTCTATCAGTTAAGAGCTACAGCAGAAAATTTTATTTCGAAGGGGAAAATTATAGGGAAGTTGAATTTAAGCTTCATTCCTTCTAGCTCAAAAATCGTTTAAAGCTTGTTTTAGACAGAAATTTTTGTCACGTGAGCTAAAGATTTCCTACATTTCGCCTATTTTTGTAGGTCACAATTCAGCTAACGCGTGTTTTGAATGTAACGCTCTCTTCTGTGCTTTGCACTTTTCCAGTGCGCATGCGTCAATTCTGTTGAAATGCGCTCGTGAAAAATATCAAACTTACGCAAGGGAAAAATCCATTAGTTAAAAACACTAACGTAGAGGAATATCATTTTAACTTTGACCACAAATTCAAAACAAATATTTACAATGGATGTATAGTTTGTCTAAGGTAAGAACTCCCCCCGCTGTAAAGTCTGAGGCTGTCTGCTGCTAATGGAAACAAGAATAGCTCATTTCAGGGAGGATAGCTTCTCTTCCCTTTAGAGATAACACATTAGACCGAGAAAAAAAAAAGATTCACTTTCTCTCGCCGATTTGAGACATAACTTGTCCTAAACAATGACCTCACACACCTACTTGACATAGTTATGCCTCGTTACCATAGTCACCGCCACAAGTCCAGACGAATGGCTAGGGGAGTTCTTACTTTAGACAAACTATAGACTATTTCTTGAAAGCTGCAGCATACGACTCAAGATGCTTTGCTCAACGTAAAACGTCCGATCTTTGAGTAAAAAAATTTGGTAGATTATAGATTTTGATGAATTCAGCGATGAATAATGACGCTTATTACTAATATTTAAAAAATATTATAAAAATTCTATTGCTTATTGAACTTATTTAAACCAAATTACATAGTTAAGATAAATATAATTTTGAAATAGCGAAAATATACCTAGTTTCTTGTGGCCTTAATGAAATTAGACAACCATAATTTTTTGCCATAAACAAAAACCAATAAAATTATATTTTCATTGAATGAACCAATGGTTGCGAGGATACAGGATTCATTTCTAAATTTCATCAATGTATTTCTTAACATACGCATTCTAGGTTCACGCTTTCAGTTCGAAGGCAGGCTTAAACAGATAACATTTAACAGCTATAAACAGCGTGCTTGCAGCTTTGTCAAGCCAACAAAACTTAAATCTTGCCAACTTAAAGATAGGTATCATATAAAATAAATACGAGCATGCGCAGTTGCTTCAATTTTATTTACAGGAGCGAACGAAAGCTAACTTAAAAGTGCGAAATCTCCCTATAAGGGGACCTCAAAATTTTGAAGAAACTATAATAAAAGTTTTTTATTTAAGAAAGTATAGTGCGCAAAAAATGAACTATCCACCCAAACTAATCGGATCTTCGCATTCTAGGATTACTTTCTCTTAATGATCATACCTTTTTTTTCGGATTAAGATTCCTCACCCTCAAAATAAAAACAGTAAACTATGGGAAATATGGCCGCAGAAAAGCGGTTGATGGTATGAGCCTCTTAATGATTTTTCAATGAAAGTCGATCTTTTTAATAAAATACGGATTTAGGGCACTCAAGATGCAGGGGGTGGTCGCGATCTGGGAAATAGGGTCCCCATAAATACAAAAGTGGGCGACCTTTGTATTAAAATACAAACTAAGGTAAACAACGTTAAAGAGCACAAAAATATTATTAAAAGCAGACAGCTGTTTCGGATGCTCAAAGGGCAACCTTCATCAATGCAACAGATGTTGGTTGCACTGATGAAGGTNTTATGACACTCAAGAAGCAAGGGGTAGTCGCAATCTGGGAAATAGGGTCCTCATAGTTTGATCAGGACAGCAATCCGAAGTTTGGACCCCTAAATATTAATTTTAGCACATTTCCCCATATTTCGGGAACTTTTTAAGCGAAATGAGAAAATTTTTCACGGAATTATAAAATTCGGTTACCTAAAGATAGTTTCATGCAAAAATTAACTTTTATTAAACATTTATTATTTTTTATTTTCCTAGTTGAAAGAATTTTGAATTATAAGGCATACAACTTTTCACACCATGTAATGTGATTTTCCATGGCAAATTTTCCATGTTACAGTGAAATCGGTCAGTTACAAAATTGCAGTGATTTCAATTTACGAAATCAAATTAGCGAATCAAATTACAGTGATTCGATACTAAAGTGCAGTAAAATCGGTCGAATAGTACCTGAGAATTTTTATATACGACTTTTTTTAAATAAGATTTCTCAGGAACTTTTTGACCAATTTCGCACAAATTTTGTATTTTGCAATGTAATTTTTTTTTTTTTTTAAAATACGAAATTGTATTTCCTACAGTTCAAAAATTTTAGACTATTTTTAAATAAAACAATAAAAAAATAACAAATAATAATATTTTTGCATAGAATTATCTTTAGATAAACGAAATTTATAATTGCAGGCAAAAATGTTTCACTTCACCTTAAAAAAATCTGGCGATATGTTGAAATACGCAAAAAGCAAACCTAGCATGAAGGGGTCAAAACTTTGAACAGTTTTCCTGACCAAACTATGGGGACCAAATTTCACAGATTGCGCCTTCCTCCTATATCTTGGGTGCCAGAATTCTGAATCCGTCGAGAAAGATCGTACGTTTTTGTGTCTAATTTCGTAACTTAAAATATCGTCTACGCTAATTAATTTGCCACACGTTTTCCCAATGGTTTCCCTAATGGTTCGTATTAAGATTCAGTCTCAGAACGTAAAGATTAGATCATTAGGGGTGACTCGTTTCTTTTTTTTTCGCACTGCAAAATATATAATTCATTTCTTTTTTGGATTAATTTTTAGCTTTAAAATCTATATAATTGCATAAAAAAAACTGTAGCGTGAAATTTGTGATCATATTTAAAATTAAAAGCAAGATTTGAAATCGTTGACATAATAGATTAAAAATTAAACTGTACTTACAGCTGAAGATTCAATTATCAAAAAATCATCCTTTTTAGCTTCATCATTTCATAGCAGGCAATTTAAAAGAAAATGGATTCATCTCAGTCCGGCAGATTCCAAACATCAAACATCTCACTTCGTCAGGTTGTTCTCGATTTGTCGGTTTATTGAGCAGAAATTTGTCCTACAAAGCTTAGTATAAACTAGAGACAGGATTAATAACAAGCAATTTAAAGTTCCAAAAAAAACATAGAAAAATTAAAATTGGAAAAAGTAAACGTTAACGACATTAAAAGCAATTGAAACACAGTACAAGAATAACGACTGAAAATAATCACTTATAAGTTACACAAAGAGGAGAAAAAAAACTATAACATACATGGGGTGAAAAACTAATTTACATTGGATAAGAACCTGAAAAGAGCGGAACTTTAAAAGAAAAATTCTAGAAAAATCTATCAGATACATTAGAAATAAAAATTTTGAAGTGAAAATAAAAAATTTAAATACATATAAAAATCTCAAACATAAAAAAAAACTAAAAAGAATTTGAAACTATAAAAAAATTGGAATAAAACAGAAAAAGAGGAAGAATTAACGAGAAATAAATAAAACGATTGAAAAAAGGATTTTAAAAATAGTTAAACCTGTGAAAATTTAAAATCAAACGTAAGCAAGGACGGGTAATGCGAAACACGTTGTTGGGTCTATAAAAACATATGAATTTGATCAGATGCACACAATTTTACCAATCAAAATCAACTAGAGTACACAATGGAAAAAATCTAAGAAACATTGGGAAAAATGTGATACACCATTTGGAAAAACAAAACACTCATTCAAGAAGCTAAAAAAACTTAGAAGGAAGAAAAACATTGAAAAAAAAACATAAAAATCATGGGCAAAAATCAAATACACATTGAAAAAACAAGAACTTTCAACTGAAATGAATAGAGAATACATATTGGAATTGAATAAGTAATAGTAAATTAATAACCAGTAAAAAAGAAAACTAGACTAATCAAAAAACGAAATATGAAACATGAAAATAATTAAATACTAATTTTTAAAATAAATTTCTTAAAAAAAAACTGAAAAGCGGAAAATATGGAACACCGAAAACAAAGTGAATCACGTATATAAACAGAGATGGAAGCTACGAAAAATCAAATATGGCGAAAAAACATTGGTGAGTTCAAGCAGTTTTGTTTCAATGAAAGTATTACCCATCGAAAAACACACTGAAAAAGCTACAGAAAAAAGTTTTAAAAAATGCAAAACAAACTTTAAGCACACACTGAAAAAAATAAAGCACACACACATTGGAAGAAACAAATTGGAACAATTGGAACACAAACAGGGGAAGAAAAAGTAGTAGCACGAATGGACGAAAAAATTTGGATAACATGCACTGGATGAAAATATGTGAAGCACAAACACTGGATAAAAAGTTTGAAACTCAAACACTGGGTGAAAAAAATTGAAACGAATACAAGAGGTGAAAAAATTTGGAACACAACCACAGGATTGAAAAAAAAAATGTTACGTAAAATATTGTAAAAAGTTTGAAACATGAATTGGAAATTAAAAATTAAACCAAACATTGAAAGCAGAAAAAATTTAAACACACATTGAAAGAAAAATAAAATGAAATACACATTGAAAGAAAAGAAAATTGCAACTTACAATTCTAAATTAGAAATTAAAAGTTTTAAAAAAATATTGGAAAATAAAATTTTGAACACACATCGGAAATAAATCAGAACACAAACTAGGAATACAAACAGATATATTGAAAAAAATAACAGAATCTATATTAAAAAAATCGAATGAAAAGTGGAACTCCATGGATAACACAGGAAAAATAATTAAAAAAACAGGGAATCCTAGAAAAAATTGAAAAAAAACAATTGGGAAATTCGAAAACAAAATTGAAGAAAATGAAAAAATTGAATACAGAAAATTTAAAATATGGAAAAAAGGAATACGTAAAAACCGTACATAAAGAACTGCTTAAACAAGGCGATAAAACAAATTGCAAATTGGATCGAATGCATTTGAAAAAAAAATTTAGCAATCGGAAAATATTGAAAAAATT